ATAACTATAAAGACAAAAGAGGGATAGGAAATACAGCTATTCTAGAAGAGAAAAATAAAAGAGGAAATTAAAGAAATAAAAAATAAAACAAAGCCCACTTAAGTATTAACTGAAAAATGGAAGAGACAGGAAAATGGAGCTATAGAAAGAAAATTTAAGAGAGGCAATAAAAAGAAACAAAACAAAACAGAAAAACCAAGGAACGGGAAAATGAAAAAACAAAGAGAGTAGAGAGTAGTAATTATAAAGTATTAAAAGGGGAAATGAGAAACAGGAGAAGGAACAAGGAAAATAGAGATAGAATAAAATTCAAAGTAATGGAAAGAGGAGGAGGAGAACAAATAAACAAAAGCAACAAAACAACAAAAAGGAAAACCCAAACCCCAAAACAAAACCACACAAAAGTGCAGCTGTCAGACCTGGAGAGAAGAAAACTCTGGGGGGGCTCCTGCAAACCAAGGAGCTCACTAGGCGAGTGGGGGGTGGGGGTAGGATGTGACAGCAGAGTTCCTGGTACAAGATGAAGTTCCTATTGGAGTCGGTGCTATCTATGTTCAGGCACTCAATCTGGAAGTAGTTTATGGAGGCCCTTGATGGAATTGGTTTTAGTGTCCTTCAGGGCAGCTGGGAACAGGATGACTGGTTAAATGCTGGTCTGGTGGCTCTGTGGGTTCTGTAGGTGTGGAACTAAACTCAACTGAATCCAAGCATAGCCTGGATGAGGATGGGAGCTGACCACACCTCTGGTCACCAGGAGAGTGTGGGGAAAAGAAGAAATCACATCTTTCTTTGTTGCCTGGTTGAATCTGCTCTGCCAGGCCACGTCTTGCAGCCGTTCACCAGTCTGTCTCCTCTCTCACCGTCCCTGTTCTGCTTCTCCTCCTAGCAAGCCCTGAGTCCACTTCTCTAACCTTTCCTCTGAAGTTCAGGGTTCCAGAGTTTTCATCTCTGACTGCTTCATTTGGCCTCTTGTACCTTTGTTGTTGTAGTGGGTCCGTGTAGTAAGTCTGCCTAGCCCACCAGCCTGCAGGAAGTCCCAGGAGCATTTCTTATAAGACTGATTTGTTAATTCTTCTAACAGTTCCAGAGTATTCAATATTCTTCTACATGACTCTGTGAAATTATCTTATTTATTTAGGTTTGCCTACAGAAGTCCTAAAGGAGAACTGGTAGTATAGTGGGTTACGAGTTGGGCTGCTAACTGCAAGGTCAGCAGTTCAAATCTACCAGCTGCTCCATGGGAGAAAGATGAGGCTTTCTGTTCCCTTAAAGATTTACAGCCTCAGAAACCCTATATAGGGTCACTATGAGTTGGAACCAACTCCACAGCACATAACCACCACCATGGAAATTCTAAAGGAGGGGCTTTGTCTTATTCACCACTGTAATCCTTTGCCTAAAAGTACTTTAAAAACAAACAAAACAAAAAACACTACTGTCACTGAGTCAATTCCAAATCCTAGAGACCCTTTGTAGGGTTTTCAAGGCTGTAAATCTTTACAGGAGGAGACAGCCTCATGTTCTCATCTTTCTCCAGTGGAACAGCTGATGGGGTTGAAATGCTAACTTTAAAGGTAGCGTCCAACACCTAGCCCACAGCACCACCAGGTCTCCTTAGCAGAGTGCTTTACAGAGTAAAGGTCCACTATTACTTTCTTTGCTGAATCAATAGCCTGGCTAGGCTCGCTTATTCCACAGTGCTATAAATGCACAGACTATGCTCAGGGTATTGCAACTCATGGCTTAAAACAATATCCTGGGAGCCCCATTTAGTCTGTCCAAGTTTGGAGGGCAGATTTCAGACTGCACTTATTGATTATATCCTTCGTATTCTGACAACTACTCCAGTTATGCTAATCTCCTGGAGGCCCCTGTAACACACTGTACTTATTGGGATCAGCTATAACATAAGTAAGGAACCATGGCGGCACAATGGCTAATGAAAGGTCAGCAGTTTGAACCCACCTCAGTGGCTCTGCCGGAGAAAAGACCTGGCAATATTCTCCCTTAAAGATTATAGCCAAGACACAGTTTACCGTGTCACGGCAGATAAGTGTCAGAATCAATTTGAAGGCATGTGGTGTTACAGGAAATGCGCTGACTGCAAAGTCGGTTTGAACTGCAAGGTCGGTGGTTCAATCTCACCAGCTGCTCCTCAGAAACTCTGTGCAGAGTCGCTATGGGTCAGAACCAACTCTCCAGCACATGACAACAACAACCATATAGTACAAGTAGTACAGAGTAGTACACTCTAAATGTACTAGGTGTGCCACTTTTAGCACTATGACTTTGGGCAAAGTACCACCTCTCTGTGCCTTCCTTACAAAAAGAGATTATCATAAAATTTATAAGGTTATTGTGAAAATGAAATGAACCTATATTCAAAATGCTTGGAAGGGTGCCTGATGCATGCTAAAAATAACAAGCATTTAAGTAGCACTTTTACTTTTGTTTTGTAAAGTCCTTCTGTCAGCAATGCTCTGTTCAATCTGGCCAAATCATACCTAGCTTGGTGACTATGTCAAGTTCTACACTTCCTTCGGTAAGCCACCTCTCCATATTTATATTTATCAAAACAAACAAACAAACCCTGCCACAGAGCTGATACGGACTCAGAGCAACATTGCATAGGGTTTCTGAAACTGCAAATTGTTATGGAAGCAGACAGCCTCATCTTTCTCGCAAGTGGTAGGTTTGAACTGCCAACCTTGCAGGTAGCAAGGTCTAGTCTACAGGGTCACTAGGGTTCCTTCCCATAAAATTTTGTTGTTGTTAACTGCTGTTGAGTCAGTTAACAACAACAACAACAGTGACTGTGTATATAGGGTTTCCAAGAGCAGTTAGTAGATTTGAACCACAACCATAGCAGTCAGTGCTGATTTTAAAGCACCACACCAGGACTCCTCCCATATTTGTTGCAGTTGTTGTTGTTGTCAAGTTCCTTCACGTCGGTTCCAACCCATAGTGACCCAGTATAGACTTTCCGAGGAGGGACTGGTGATCTCTAATCACTGACCTTACAATTCAACCCAACATTGCAATCCAGCACATTAACCCTCAGAGCCATACCGGAACACCCTCATAGTATTTGTTGTTGTTATTGTTAAGTGCTGTTGGATCGGTTCTGACCCATAGCAACCCTGTATGGGGTTTCAGAGGAGCAGGACTCCCCATAATAATTAGGTATCCTTAAATGTCCTAAGGAGCTCTGGTAGTGTAGTAGTTACAAGTCGGGCTGCCAACTGTAAGGTCAGTAGTTCAAACTATCAGCAGTTCCGCGGGAGAAAGATGAGGTGTTCTACTCCTGTAAAGATTTATAGCCTCGGAAACCTGTACAGGGTCACTATGAGTTGGAACCGACTGCATGGTGCTTAACAACAACAACAAATGTCCTGGTGTGGCACTGTGGGTTAATGCACCAGACTGCAAAGCCGTTAACTGCAAGGTTAGTGGTTCAAGCTTACCAGGGGCTCCTTGGAAACCCTATAACAGGGCTGCTATGGGTTGGAATTGACTCAACGGCACTTAACAACAACAAAAATGCTACACATATTACTTCTGTGAAGATATCTATAAACTACTCAAGAACAAACTTTATTTCACACTTCTGTTCTATCTACAAAATGTCTAGCATATATGGATTTCTTGTCGTATGTTTTCGAGAATCATCTGATTCACAGCAAACCTATAAAACAAAGCAGGACTTCTCCATAGGGTTGCCTATACTGGCACTGTAAGATAAGCACTGGACTGCTAACCACAAGGTCAGCAGCTTAAACCCACACCAGCCGCTCAGTAGAAACACTATATAAAGGCATTATGAGTCAGAACTGACTCGATGGGACTTAACAACAACAATAGTAACTTGACAGTTTGCCATATCTTCTCTCTTACAGAGCAACTAGTGGGTTCACACCACTGACCTTCAATTCAGCAGCTAAGCTCTTAAGCACTGTACATAAGGGCTTCTATATAAACACCTGTTAAGTGTCATCAAGATTGCTCCGACTCATAGCGACACCGTACAGGGTTTCTGAGGCTATAAATCTTTGCAGGAGCAGAAAGCTGCATCTTTTTCCTGTAGACCAGCCGGTGGGCTTAAGTAACTGACCTTGCAGTTAGCGGTCCAGTGCTTACCCTGAAGAGTCACTGCACTCCCATACAAACAATTACTTACAGAATGAAAAACCATGTCAACTTTTATAAACAAATTCATATTATGACTTAGCAAATGCATGTAATGGTAACATAATGTTGTTTGAAGAATACAACCAATAATATTAAAATTTCAAAATATAGTTTAAATGCATATTTACCAAAATTTCAAAAATACTAATCAAAAGCAACACAAAAAGGAAAAAAAATTTGTTTAAAATATTTGCTTTTAAAAATAATGGAGTCATATATTTTAAGGATAATATATAAACCAAGTAGGTAGTAAAGGTATTGTACTAAGATATCAGAAAAGTAAATGCCAAGCTTTAAAGCTTATTTATAGACTTCCTCCATAGTGCATTTTATGGTACGTGATAAAGAACTAGGTATTTTAAAACATGAACATACTGACACAAAAAACAAGCTATATTATATTTTAATTAGAAATAGAGTTGAGACATTTAAAAAGATAATTGGTCTCTTAAATTAAGAACAGGGAAAGAGTACGGTTTCATATTCAGATTCCAAAGCACGTGACATTTATTTTTTAATAAAGTTGTTAAAGCTTTATTTACAAATGAGGGAAGCTTAATACAATAATATCCCCTAAATGCAAATCTTATTATTTTTATTTTTGTTGTCTATGTGCTTCTGATTCTCTCTGACCACAAATTTTTCACATGCCAGTTTCTCACAAGATCCATAATTGAAGGTGTGTTTGATGAAGTGAGAAATGTCTCTCATACAGACAAATATATACAAAGAAGGCAAATTAAATTGTATTATTCAAAAAAAGGTATATTTAATTCATAAGTTTTATTTATAGAATTGTTTTGAATACTCACTTATATAATGCATTCCTAAATTCAGGAGTCATAAAAAGCGTTTGCAAAAGGCTATTCAAATAGCAAGTCATTGCTTGATTTACTAAGCCAACATATCCTTTAAAAAGAAAACACACATATACATAAATTAGCAGTGAGATTAAAAATAAAAAATATGAAAACTTAACAAGGATGCTTTGCTACAGAAATGTACAGAAATACACAGATACACAGATATAAATGGCATTTAATAAAATGTTAAGGGTAACATAATATTTAAAACAGTATTTTCACTGGTATAAAAAGAATGTTTGTTCCCCAAATCTATAAGTTGTGTATAAGAGGGAAGGTATTAACAAACTCACTGTAAATATACTACATACTCAAAGTAGCAAGATTGTACTGAATCATTTGTCTCTACAGACCACAAGGTTGTCTGAACTGAAAGGTCAGTGGTTCAAGCTCACCAGCTGCTCCTCAGAAACCCTATATAGGGCTGCTATTATGAGTCAGAACCGACTCGAAGGCTTTTAGCAATATCAACAAATCACCAATTTCTACTAAGAATTAATAGCACACAAGATAAAATCTCTATCGGCAAACTTTCCAAGTCTGAGACTATTTTACTAAATCATTAAGTCTGAAATTCTATGTATCAGCATACTATGCAAAATCTGACTATACAGCACAAAGAGAACTTAGGGATGGAGGAAAAAGGAGTGAAAAGAGAGAGAAAGAGGAAAAGGAAGGAAGGAGAAATTTACATGAACTTAAAATTCAAATGAACCCGGTGCTTAATCCTTGTTGTTAAGTGGCATCTTGTAGATTATGACTCATAGCAACCCAGTATAGGGTTTCCGAAGAGTGGCTGGTAGGTTTGAATTACCAACCTTGTGATTCAAACTGACCTTGCAGTCCAGTGCTTATTCTACAGTGCCACACCAGGACTCCACGCTTAATCCAAGTAGAGTACTTACCTCAAATTCTTTAATTACCAATTTGTTCACGTCTTCCTCACCAGAGTGTGAGGACAGGGGTTGAATCTGATTGATCTCTATCTAACTACTTAGCACAGCAGTGAATGCACAGTGAAGGGACAGGGGATATGACTGACAAATAGAACAAACTAGTATGATCTGATCTGATTACAAATAACGAAGAACATGATTTCATTTTTAGTTCATATAAACAGACACTTTCACACAGGCAACAGTGTTTTTTACATGTATTAAAATAAGATATTCATAAAAATAAATGTCTGACTTTAGGGTTTATCTATAGACTTCTTATAATGGCCAGGTAAACACTGTATTAGCTGAGGCTTCCTAGGATTTCCCTTTGTTCTCTCCAAATATTTTCCCTAATTCTTCAACAGTCAGGGATAGAAGAGTTAGCTGCAGACTCACCAGACTCTCCTCAGCAACCTTACACATGGTCACTATGAGTCAGAACTGACTTGGCGGCACTTAACAATAACAAAGGAGTTCTGATGTGGTGGTGTAGGATAAGCAATGGACTGCAAGGTAGGTTTGAACCGCAGAGTCGGCAGTTCAAACTCACCAGCTGCTCCTCAGAAACCCTATACAGGGTTGCTATGAATTGGAATCAACTTGATGGCACTTACCAACAATAACAAAGTTGCTTTAGTGAGCCCTGGTGGCACAGCACTCAGGTGCTAAGAGATCAATAGTTCAAACCCAATCTGCTTTTCTAAAAAGTACTGCCTTGGAAATCCCATGGGGCACTTCTACTCTGTCTTACAGGGTTCCAACTCATAGAGACCCTGTTCTGAGGAGCTGCTGGTGAGTTTGAACCACCGACCTTACTGTTCAAACCAACCTTGAGGTTGAGTATCACAACAAGATGTTGTTGTTTGTTGTTAAATGCCACCAAGTCAGTTCCAACTCATAGCAACCCTGCATAGGGTTTCCAAGGAGCAGCTGGTGAGCTTGAACCGTCAATCTTGTAGTTCAAACCGACATTGTGGTTCAAACCGACTTGCAGTCCAGTGCATTAACCCAAAGCACCACACTAAGACATTTGTTGTTGTTGTTGTTGTTAAGTGCCGTCGAGTCGGTTCCGACCCATAGTGACCCTGTACAGGGTTTCCGAGGGTGTAAATCTTTACGGGAGTAGAAAGCCTCATCTTTCTCCCATGGAGCGGTTGGTAGTTTCGAACCGCTGACCTTAAGGTTTGCAGCCCGATTCGTAACCACTACGCTACCTAAGACATTAGGTCCAATAAAATAAGCCCCGCTGATCTACTTAAAATTGGAAGTATCTCCTGCAATCTTTTAATCCCCAAAGAGATAATATAGTATTAAGAGGAAGTTAACTTCAAAAATTTAAGATTACATTTTAAATAAAAAATTATCAAAACAGAAATTCTTTCTTTAAATACAATATTCAGTTTTCTTACTTTGTAACTAAGCCGTGACAGTAACACACAGTCTAACCAAAAAAAAAAAAAGAGTGAAGGAAAGGGAAAACATATTTTGTTCTAATTTTGCTGTTGCTAGCAAGCTAAATTTGGTAATCCTGCTCTGGGCTTCACTTTTCTGATCTATAAGATGGGGAGTTGAGGACTGAGATACCAAAGATAACTCTGGGTCTAATGCCCTACAATTAGATGATAAAATAAAATAAAAATATTGTCTTACCAGTTTCAGACTTATTCAAAATCGATGAATAGGAGTAGCTTTGGCTGACATAGTCACTGGTAGAGCCCACAGAACCTTCTCTTGGAAGAGGACCTATAAACCTGTCATGAGTATTGTCATCCACAGCACTGGAATCCTCCTAAAAAACAGCATAACCCATACTTACTAAACAACAAATGTTGCTGAAACAATGAAAAAAAGACTAATTGTTGAACCAAAGAAAAAGGCAGGCTTTACTCTTACTGTTATGACCACGGCTTTCAAAGGACTGAATGTCCTTATCATTTCCCAAGGAAGGTTGGAAAGATGCTGCTGTCTCCTTCTAAAATTCTAACTTTCTCAATTCTCCTTCAAGTTTTCTCTTAACATGACAGAGACTTTCTGGTACTATAAAATCAGAAATCCCACTGTGAACTCTGGTGACAAAGGCTATCATTTATGTTTATACCATTTGTGCCAAGTAGGCTTGACAGGCAGGGGCTAGTCCATAACTGTTGAATAAGAAGGGCAGTTTCCAAATTAGAAACTTCCTATTCATGAGTAAGGATCAGAAAACAAGTATTTAGTTGGTGCTGAGTTGGCTCTGGGTCACGGCAATCTTATATACAACAGAACATAATACTACACAGTCCTGAACCTTCTTCGAGATTGATAGGTGTGGTCAAGGCCATTGTTACAGCACTGTATACTTTGAGTGCCTTCCAATTTAGGGGTTCATCTTCTAGCACCACACTGGACAGTATTCTGTTGTGACAGATAGGTTTTTCACTGGCTAGTTTTAGGAAGCATATAGCCAGGCGATTCTGACTAGTCTGTCTTAGTCTGCTGAAACCAAGCAGACTAGTTTCATCATGATAATTTGACAAATGGATAGCATAGCTTCTAATATCAAAGCAACACATAAGTCACCAAAGTCTAAGAAACTGACAACTAGTGGGGAAAAGGATTAAGAAACATAAAACCAAGAAAATTAATTAAGACAGAGCTGGAAAGTGATTATTATGCATTTTTAGATGCAAATCCACAATTTGTGAATCCATAGTTCCCTAAATTAGCAGCTAATCTAGACTTCAATGTCTACTCAAACAATCTTTGGATCGGTCACAAAAATGATACTCTTCAGAAAGGTCAGAAAGCATATTGTTGCATTCCTACAGTAGAGAAGCACTGTGTCTACTATCCTAAGAGGCATTCTTATTCATAATAAAGTTTTAAATGAGAATGATCAATTAGAACAAATTTTTTTTTCTTTCAGACTTAAGCTCTGAAAGTGGGGCTTTAAGTCCAATGATAACTCTTCACAATGTCACCAGTTACTCCTTTTATAGTGGCAGATATTTTTATTTATTGAAAAATTTTTATTGGGTGAGGTTTACAGAGCAAATCATCAATTTTACATTCAATAAATCATTTTTAAAAAAATTTATTATGAATTGAGGGTTTACAAACCAGAGCATCAGTTTTGCATTCAACA